TGCACTGCAGTGCATCCCGGTCATGGTCCTGTTCCAGCATGTCCTTTGATATCTTCCCAAAGGTATCGTAATTCCTATGGCTGGATCGCAGCTGGGACTGGACAGCTTCCTCCCCCCAAACACTGATGAGGTCCAGCAACTCACCATTGCTCCATACTGGGGCTCGCTTGGCACGTGGAGACATGGTCACCTGGAAAGATTCGCTGATAGCACTCCACACCACGCCTGGCTGAGCAAACAGGAAGGGGATTTTCAAAATTCCCAGGGAATGTCAAGGGCGGGTCACATGGTTGGTTACTTGAGGCCAGGGCAGTAGAGTTCTGACTGATGACCAGAGTGGCTAGAACAGGCATTGTGGGATACTGCTGAATACTTGTGGAGGGGAGTCAGAGCGCATTGGGTGGCCACACTGTCGCCGCAGCGCTGCAGTGGCAGCGCAATACACCTTATTCCTCTCGGGGAGGTGGAGTACTTGCAGCGCTGTACCCAGGGAGATGCAGCGCTGTACGTGCCTTGCCAGTGTAGCCGGTGAGTGAGTTACAGAGCTGTGGACGGCTTTATTGCGCTGTAACTCGCAAGTGTAGCAAGCCCAAAGGTTTTTTCTTGCCATGTGCTGGATAGCTTGTCTTGGGAACAAAGAAAGCAGAGACCACACGAAAAGAGACTGTAAAAGGTTGCTGCAGCTCCCCCATCTTGTCTTCAACCCTGCTTCTTGCCTCTGGAGGGACTTTGCTACAGACTGAAGCTCTGAACAAAGGACTGAATGACCCATCCCAGCTGGGGATGGATTCCAGTGACTTGATTTGAACCTGCAGTTTCTTCCACCACTGCTACAAGCCTGAACCAAGAACTTTGCCATTACTGGATGTAATTGATTCCATTTAACCAATTCTAGCTCTCATCTATATATTTTTCCTTTTATGAATAAACCTTCAGATTTTGTATTCTAAAGGATTGGCAACTGCGTGATTTGTGGGTAAGATCTGATTTGTCTATTGGTCTGGGGCTTGGTCCTTTGGGATCAGGAGAACCTTTTTTCTTTTACTGGGGTGTTGGTTTTCATAACCATTCATCCCCATAACGAGTGGCACTGGTGGTGATACTGGGAAACTGGAGTGTCTGAGGGAATTGCTTGTGTGACTTGTGGTTAGCAAGTGGGGTGAGACCGAAGTCTTCTCTGTTTGGCTAGTTTGGTTTGCCTTGGTGTGCAAAGGAACTCCAGCCTTGAGCTGTAATTGCCCTGCTTTAAGCAATTTGTCCTGAATTGGCACTCCAAGCAGTGCCCCACCAAGGGCAGCATCGTTACTCTCTGTCATGGGGTGTTTCTCCTCCAGGGGGATCTGGCTTTGATCCAGCCCCAGTGCAGGGGGATGGGCGGCTCAAGGAGGTGGGAATGGGACAGGAGGCCTTTGCCCTCTCGATGAACTCGGGGGATGGAAGGTAAGGAACTAAACCAAAGCACCTCAACCTGGTCCTAACACTTGCAGCCCTGTATGAAGACAATCACTATAATCCAGTCTCATACTTCAGGGCTTCCCCTGAGGGGGTCAGGCAGGAAGAGTTACCATGATGCCCCATTGGCTCCCTGTATTCTGGGATGTCCCTTCACCTTCCTCTGAAGCATCAGCGATCGCACACAGCTGGAGACAGGGTGGGGTGGGCCAGGGCTCTGAGATGTCTGGCTGGTGGTTCAGGCTGGCACGATCAGGGTTCAAATGTGCTTCAGAATTGACATGGGGGTAGAATTGGGATGGGCTGATTCTGAAACTGGACAGGCCCCAGAAGGGGAGATTGGTGGGAGGATCTGTGGGGGGGAGAATCACACCAAGAGGGGCCAAGCCCTGGGTGTGTCTGGGGGAGAGGGGCTTGGGCCCCAGTTGGGTCTGTGTGGTATTTGGCTCTAAACTTGGTACTGTGGGTAACCAGCAGCCCAGCGGGTCTGGGATGGAAACAGGATCCTGAAAGCTTTCCAGATCTGCCAAGCCCACCTCCCAGTGGGAAGTCATAGCTAACAGGGAGGGGAAGCGGCCGTCCGGCTCCTTCTCCCAACTGCATAGCCATTAAAGGGCCAGGGATGGGTTTCTGGTGGGGAGGGGCAGTATGCCTGGGGTTCTCTCCCTGGCTTGGAGAGGGGAGTGGGTCTGTGTGTGTGGTGGGGCTGGGGATCAGGACTCCTGGGTTCTATCCCATACTCAGAGATGGGAGGGAGGGGTTAGTGGTTAAAGTGGGGAGGGGGGGGAGAAGGACACCTGGATTCTCTCTCCAGCTCTGGGACAGGAGTTGGGTCTTGTGGTGGGAGTGTGTGTGTGGGGGGGAGCTTTGGGAACAGGAATCCTGGAATCTTTATCCTGCTCTGAGCTGTGTGTATGGGAGCCTGGACTCCTGGGTTCTCCCTGGCTCTGGGAGGGGAGTGGGGTCTAGTGGTGAGGGCTGGGAGTTAAGGCTTTTGGGGTTTCATTCCCAGCTCTCCCAATCTGTATATGGAGCCCTCCTGCTATACAGGTAGGATGAGTCACCTGGAGCTGGAATGCAGCTGGGAGGTGACTGGCCCAGATTCTGCCCTGCTTGCCCTACATCTGTACAGTTGCTGAAGGATCCCTAGGGTCCATCAGCCCAGGGAGCCCATCTAGCCTGGCCTTTGAGAGTGGCACCCCCTTGTGGACAATTGTGCCATGACCTGCCCAGGAGAGCCACTCCCTCCTCCCCCCGTTATTACTGGGTCATGCCCTCAATTGCAGGCTTTCCTCCTGCCCTCCCCACCCCAGCGCGTGGATCCTCTGCCTTGCTGGGAGTGATCCCCAAGAATCATTGATTGGCCCTTGAGCATCTGTTAAATTCATGTGGTGATGAGTTCCACAGGCTGTTCCTTTCCCCATGGCTCTCAGGGTCCCATTACTGCTGCCCCCTCACCCACCAGCTCTGTCTAGGATTGACACCCTTATAGCCACATGCTGGGTGCTTAGGAGGGAGAGGGCAGGGCAGACATGGGGGGAGGGGTATAGGGAAGGTTCATTGGGAACTAGATGGGTTCCCTGCCTGGGCACCTCCCTCTTCCCTGTGCCTTGTGTTCCCTGCCTCACCCCCCATTATAGGGTGTGCCAGGCATTTGCTGGGGTCTCTCATGTGGGAGCACCAGGCTCCAAGAAGCTCTCCTGTCTGGTGGGAAAGAGCAGTGAGTTCTGACCCCCTAGAAAGACCCTCTCAGGATCAACCATGGCAGAACCAATAAGAATTGTTCCCACAGTGACTAGAAGGGTTGGGAGAGGGCAGAAGCTAATCAGGACTCAGTGGGATAAAAAGGGCCAGCAGCACCTGCCAGGGGCCAGTTCAGGTGGAGCAGGATGTAATGAACTGCGGCGGAAGATTCAACTGTTTGTCAGAGGGTCAGTGACTGTGTCATGGGGCCTTTCCCCTCTAGGGGGTGCTGTCTCCGATCCAGCCCCAGGGCAGGGGGTTTGACAGATCAGGCAGGTGGGAATGGGACACCGGGCCTTTCCCCTCTAGATCAATGGGACGGGGGGAATGGAAATTAAGGAACTAATTCAGTGCAGCTCAACATGCTCCTAGCCCATACAGTCCTGTACAAAGATGATTACTATCATCGTGTCTCCCTCCTGCTTTCTGTCTTTTGCCTCCATATTTTCCCCCTTCTATAGACCCCACCAAGTAGAAAACCAAGGAAATTCAACCCAAACAACTTGGTGAATGCTGAAAAAAAAATCAAACCTTTATTCAGGCTTGATACATTCTTTGTTTTTCAGCAGCAGATTCTACCCCAGAATGATCTTAAAGCTCATTTCAGCCTGTGGATTATAATGAGAGAGGACCAAGAGAACATGTCATGAAATCATCTACCTTGGTAACAAGATTTGGAGAGAAGGAGGGAAATGGGAAGCAGATGAGCCGGGTTTGCAAGCTGGGAGGAGGGCACTGGGAAGCACTAAGCATGGATTTGAAGGGACTGATTTGATCCCAATGATTTCTAGGAAGCCAATGCTCACACACACACACACATCAACCATAGCTTCATGGTGCAGGCATTCTCCATCCTCACGGATGCTTAGGGGACTGGAGGCAGAGGGATGCGGTCGGGTGGGTTGTTTTCTTTGGTGAACTCGACATCCCTGCAGAACAAGACGGGCTTGTGGCCTATGCCAAGGCGGTACTGCCAGATGTACAGGTTCTTTTTGGGCTCCAGGGTCACCTGGATTGACTCCTCTTCTTCTCGGGCTTCAGTCCAGTCCTCTTGGTCAGTGCGGATGCTTCTCCCGCCGTACTCGGTCTTGAGGGAGAACTGGAACTGGGTGATGAGCTTGGTGAGCTCTCCGGCCCCGAGGGACATCTCAGCAGAGATGCTCCAGTTGTGCTCCATGCTGGACATCTGCTGCTTGGCATAGCCCACCTTGCAGGTGACCTTGTCGGACCAAGTGATGGAAGAATCGGAGTCATTGTGCAGGGTCTTGATGCACTCCCAGCCACCAGTTGAGGCTCCCTTAACGAGGGCTAGCCCCCCAGGGAAGAAGTTCAGCACATTGGGGTGGATGGAGGAAAAGCGTGGGTGGTTGGAGAAAAACTCTTTGTACAGGTAACACTGAGCCCCCCATTTCTCGTCCAGCTTGATCAGGGTTGGGAGGTTGTCGATGGTGAAGTAAAAGAGCCCCTTGGAGCATTCAGGCTCCAGAGGAGTCCGGCCCCCACTAATAGGTGTGCTCAGGTCACAGACATAGTCCAGGCTACCCTTATTTTGGGAGATGATATAGAACCAGGAACCACAGTATGTGTAGTGGTCCCCGCCACGGCAGCTGGAAGCCAGCTCACGGACTTCAGCCTCTGCATCTGTGCTCAAGTCCTTCACCACCCGGTAGGAGTCGCCCTTGATGACATAGATGTTGGGGGGGTTCTTATTGTCACTCAGGTAGTGATCCCCACCCTGGCACGCGGGGTGCAGTCTCTGGATCTTAATGCCAGTCCCACTCTTTAGATCCTCTGTCCACAGGTAGCAGCCCAGGTCAGAGCGGACGATGAAGAATCCCCCTTGATTATAGAAGACGTCGGTGCCCGGGGCGTCTTTGTGAGGCACCAATGATCCATTGGCAGGAGTCCAGTCCTGAGGTGGGGACAGAAGAGGGGAGGAGGGAGGGGAGGACCTTAGCTTACCCGATCTTTTGTGAATCTTTGATGCTTGAAGACCCCCCAGTTTCAACAGCAACCAGACACCTGGGATAGGTATTGGTTCAGCCCTGAGAGGTGTATGCAGTGAAGTCTCCTAGATGTACTGTGGGCCTGCAGCCCTATCCCCAGGGGGGTGACATTGTCCTTGTGGAGGGAGGAAGGGGAAATCCCAGCGTTCTTATCCGGGATTATCCCACCTCACACGGGATCCCACTTACCACTGTTGATCTATCTGACTGGGCCATGTCTCCTCCGTCTCACCCCGTAAGTACGAAGGCCTGCCCTGCGTGGAGAAAAAGAGGGGAGGAAATATTAACAGTATCCTGACCTGTAACTCTGTGCCCAGGCAGGAGTCCAGGAATAGAGCTCACAGGAAAACAAGGCACCAAAGTTCCCTCAATCCCGACCCGTAGCCCCCCAGCTATCCCAGCCGAGGCTCAGCCCTCTGTCCAAGTCTCCTGGTGCTCCTCAGTCCTGACCAGTAGCCCCTTGCTAGCCCAGCCCTGGGGTTCCCCCCACTCTCCCCCGCAGAGCTCCAACTGACACTCCCACCTGGTAGATGCTCTCGGCTGATGACAGCCCCTCTTGGGGACAGGACCAAGCTCCTGGGCCGGATCAACGGGAGTAGTATACAACTCAATAGCATTCATCAGCATGTATTTTTGACAGGTTTCCACGTTGGTGTCAAGGTTTGGCACCGTCGGCCATTTCGAATGTTTCTTTTTGATTATTTTTTATGTTTGAATAGGGGGAATGTTGCGTGCTTGTGCTTTTATACATTTGGTTGATTGTTTAGAGAAAAAGGCTGAAAGAATAGAGTGAGAGCACTTTGTGGTGGAAATAACCACCCAGGCAGTAATTTAATCAGAGACTCAAGCCTGAGGCCCATTTATTGAACACACAACAACGCGCTGGTGGCAGCGATATCAAAATCACTCCCCAGATACAAAGCATTGCCAGTGTATATAAAGTTTAAAACCACAAATACATCACACACTTGAGTAATAATTGCCCTTATTTGGAATTAACACATGACAAGGGTTAGGGTCTTTCTGCGTCTTTTTGGTACTTTCCAACGTTGCTGCAAACATACCTTTTATGGGTGTAAATAAGAGTTAGGGTCTTCTCCGGTACTTTCCAGGGTGTTGAAACCATACCATTTATGGGGGACCGTTACACCATGCTCATCACGGGGTGCAGCAGTATCATGGGGTAGTTACACAGCAGGGGTAAGGGAGGGCATGGGTTACAATTGCACATGTCTTAGGCCTATGGGTTACCATTACAAAAGCTTCACACCTATTTGATTATAATCTTATCTCACACAAGCAGTCAACACATTTCTTAAGTATTAGGCACATATGGCAGTTATTGTATTTCAACAGCATATTGCAAACTATTCCCACCTCTGGGGCTTTCCACCCCACACCCCCCGGTCAGGGGACACAGTGAGTTTGGTTCAGGCTTAGGGCCTGTTAGCAACAAAACAGGCCCATGTTAACAAATCAAGGCCTAGACAATTCGGGGGATGGGGTCTTTTCCTCCACAACTTAAAGATTAAAAAAGAAAGCTTTGGTAAGGCTTAGAGGAAAAAAAAGAAAGAAAGGTTGTTTGGTTAAGTTTAGTATGGAGAGATAATTTTAAAGACCTAGTTTTGCATGTTATTAAAGAATAGAAAGAACTTAAAGAAAAATGGAGATATTTGTTTTTAAAGGGTTAGTTTGAAAGAATAGAGACAAGTTATTAAAGAAAAGAGATTTTTGGTGAGGTTGAGTAAGGAGAGATGATTTTAAAGACCTAGTTTGTCATGTTCTTAAAGAAGAGAAAGAACTTAAAGAAAAATAAATATTTTTGTTTTTAAAGGGTTAGTTTGAAAGAATAGATTGAAAACTATAAAACTATAAAAATAGGTTTAAAAAGAACACACGTCAAAAAGGGACATTTTCTAAAGCAGAGCCTGTTTGGTAAGCACATGGTAAAAAATATTAAGGCAGGTTGAGAAAGTTACATTTAAACTGTTAAATATAAGGTTAGGCTAAGAAAAGAGCATTTAAAAATATTAAATAATATTAAAAACTATAAAAGGTTTAAAAAGAACACGCATGGCAAAAAAAGAAAGGAATTTACTAAGGCACAGCACATGGTAAAAAGTATAAAGGTAGGTTAAGAAAAACACATTTAAACTATTAAATATAAGGGTAGGTTAAGAAAATGCATTTAAAAGAGTTAAATAAAAGAAAAACATTTAGATCAGTTAAACATCTAAACATAGGTTAAAGGAAAGAACAAGGCAAGAAAAGGGAAAATAAAGCCCCTTTGCAAAGGGCAAAGATAGACAGCACGTGGGTGAGTCAGAGAGAGAGAGAGATCTTACCCTTCCAAGTGTTTCTGTGGAAAGAGGCAACTTCCCAGGTTCACAGCCCCTCAGGCTTGTTATCCCCACCTTTGGATCAGACCAATCAGATGTTGTTCTACAGCAGTGTCATAGAATTCATTTTCCTGAACCAATCCTTTCATCCCCAAATTATTATACAAGAACCATCTCCCTTCGCCCCTTTAACTGCCATATTCTTATGTAAAAAAGCAGACCCCAAGTATTTCCCCTGCCATGTAGCCTTTTTACATAGGGGCTTTAATAAAAGTTAAA